TTTGCGCGTGAGGTGGTTGTCTCGAGGCAGTGTTGCTTGCCCCGTGTCAATGGCTTGCCGGCGGCAGTTTAGTCAACCGCTCTGGTTGGTTTGCATGCAGGTATTTGACATGGATGCGGCAGCAAGCTCCAGTTGTCCATACTACGTGCAACTTCAATGTTTTCGGCCTGCATATGCGGATCATCCCGGGACTCGGCTCGCGGGTTATGCGGAAACGGGAGCAAACATAAATGTATATATACGCGGAATGGTCCGGTCAACTTTTCGCATGAAGTCTTGATCGTCAACCTTAAGTCACATACGAGACCCTACTTCTTGTCAACACTTTTCCGCATAGAATACGTCATTCCTGGAGTCTATTAGGGAGTCTATGGTGGTGAAAGTCCTGAATGATGCGCAACGAAGCATGCGGATAAGACTTGCTAAAATCAACGTATCCGTCTTTGTTGTGGCAAATGAATCCGCCGTTCTTCGAGACACCTAATGCAGGGGCAATTGGTCCAAGTAGTAAATGATAAATATTGTACATTGCTCGTCATGCCTTAAAACTCCCCGTCTATTGTCCTATTTTCTTCTGCCTTTATACACGGAGCAGCTTCGCCGCAAAGTTCTCGATGAGCTGCTCGGTCGGGAAGCTCATCTGCTCGAGGCCCTGGGCGTACGGCGTGGGGACCTCGGCGCCGGTAATTCGCTGCGCGGGAGCATCTAGGTAGTCGAAAGCGTATTCCATAGTGGTAGCGAGGATCTCAGCGCCCATACCGGCGAAGGGGAATCCAGACTCGACAGAGATCAGGTGGCGCGTCTTCTTAACCGACTGAATGATGGTCTCCACATCAAGAGGTTTGACCGATCGCAGGTTAATAACTTCGGCGTCAACGCCGTAATTCTTCTTCAGGCCCTCGGCAGCGACCAAGCACTGACCAACGGTACGGGAGAGGGAGACAATAGTCAAGTCCTTGCCCTGTCGCTCGATCTTGGCCTTGCCGAAGGGCAGGACGAAGTCGTCCTTCTGCGCAGCCTCGGACATGGGGAAAGATACACCGTACATAAGCTCGTTCTCGAGGACAACAACGGGGTTGGGGTCGCGGATGGCAGCCTTCATGAGACCCTTGGCATCTTCAGCAGACCAGGGAGAAACAACCTTAAGACCGGGGATCGAGCCGTACCAAGCGCTGTAGTCCTGAGAGTGCTGAGCACCGACACCGGCAGCGAAACCGTTGGGGCCGCGGAATGTGATATTGCAGGGCTGGATACCGCCGGACATGTAGAGGGTCTTGGCAGCGCTGTTGACGATCTGATCGATGGCCTGCATGGCGAAGTTGAAGGTCATGAACTCGCACTACGGATGTTGTAACTGATTAGCTGTTGCTTCGCTCCTAGCCGACCCAAAGGAGCGGGCACGTGTGGGTACTTACAACGGGAGCCAGTCCGCTCAACGCAGAACCGACGGCTAGACCACAGAAACCGCTTTCCGTAATTGGGGTATCGATGACTCTCTTTTCGCCGAAGCGATCTAACAGGCCTTTCGTGATTTTGTATGCGCCGTTGTACTGTGCAACCTCCTCACCAATAATGTAGACCTTGTCGTTGGCCTCGAGCTCCTCGGCCATGGCCTCGTTGAGGGCATCACGGACGGTGTACTCCTTGGTTCCCTTGACGTCGGCGAAAGTCCTTCGTTGCGAGACAGCAAACGAAGCAGGGGCGAATCGGGTAAGAGCTCGGGGAGCTGCGACAGTGCGTGCTGACGCAGCTAGTCGAGCTGCCGGACGTAGGTATCGCGACATGATAAGGGATGGAGAGGGAGAATTGACAACAGGAGAAGACGATATGATCCAATTGAGTCCGAACTCCCAGCCGACAAGAAGTTGGCGTGGTTGTCGTTGGTGACGGTGAAGGTGATGATAGAAGACAGAAGAGCGATTTTCTCCGGAGGGCCTTTTTTTGGAGTTGCTATTCGCGTTCGTCTCCCAACTTTTTTTCTCGGATGGAATAGGAAGAGCTTGTTGAGGGTGAGGTAAGCCGCTAGACCACATTGGGATTAGGCGCATATGGTCCCTCCGAACCATCGGACTCTGGGAATCTCCATATTCTTTTTTCTTCTTGTAAGTATTCGATACACAGTTGAATCAAGGTATATTCTGCTTATTTGTATAGGTATAGAGCAATATGTTTGACAAGAGAAGCCATAAGTCAATTGTATCGAAATCTAAATACACTGTTTTTGGTTCAAAAGTCTTTTTATATCAAGAAATTCATTCCTCTTAGTCAAAAGCGTCCTACGATAGTTGCTATCTTATCGCAGGTACCTAAGGCTTGCGAAACTACGGAAGTCAATTGGGGAATCCCTCTGTTGGGGATAATCCGCCCGTATCTCTTGCGCCCCTTTGTTGATTAATCGATTCATCCAAGCTGACTGTCACGGACAATGCTATTAATACGTATTATTTTAGTATATAAGTACCCAAGTTTGGCTGTGAGGAAGAATCGCTCGTGAGGCCTATCATTTTGCTGATCCACTACTGTGCACGTACTTGAAATTTTGATATTCTATTCAATTGGTAAAAATATGTATCGCGTAACAAAGGGCTAATCTTTAGTGCGGTCTATTTATATACAGAAGTCTCAGAACTCTGACCAACGCTCAAAACCTCGGAAGCTTGGATTCCTCGGGAGGCGAGTATTTGGTTCCGTCAATTGTATTAGTTTAGTATTATTAGGTTGGTGTTGTATCGCTTCTTGACTCATTACTTGTGCACATAAGCACATAATTTCGAACACTGGCACCACGTTAAATCGGCAACACTGGTCATTGCTCCGGCTTCTTGCCGACCATCAGGTACATCGGCGTGAAGAGATGCTTCGCTCCACCGGCAACTAGGCAGTCAGCTGCGCGGCCCAGACTGTCTGCCGTCTTCTTGGTACCCCTCGGTGCCAATCCGGTTAGCTCCAGGACACCTGCGAAGTTGTGCGCCAGGAGTCGGCCCCACCACGTCATTCTCGCGATCGTAGGAACGTCGAATACCGATTGCAAATACTTCCACTGGCCAGCAAGAGGCCAATACCATGGGATAGGGTCGGGGCGGTCAGCGAGATCTTCGTGGTGCATCATCTCAAAGCCCGCGATCTTCATGGCTTCAACGCCTTCCGAGATCTTGACCATATTCGAGATACCGTCACCCTGCTCAATTCCAAGTCGGATCTCGCGGTGCTCCAGGTTGTCATTGTCGTATTCATCCGTCATGAGCCACTCGTACACACCGAAAACACCACCAGGCTTCAATACACGGAAGATTTCGCTATAGACACCTTCGAGCTTGGGGGCATGGACCGTGGCTTCAATGGCGTAGACAGCATCAAAGCTGTTGTCGGGGAAGTCCATTTGCTAGTAAGGGACACGTAAGCAAAGAACAATGTGAAGCTATAGGGAATGTACTAGGACTCACCATGAAATCGCCCTTTACGAACGCCAATTGGTTTGACAGACCCTCCTTCGCGGCGTAGTGAGTAGCACGTTGGATTTGGTAGTCGTTGTTATTCAGGCCGGTAATATGGCAGCCGGTGAACTTTGCGATCTCTCGAGCAGGGCCACCGACACCACAACCAACATCTAGTACCTTCATGCCTTCCTTGATACCAATCTGGTGCGCGAGGTAGTGTTCGTGTCGGGAAATAGCTTGGTAGAAATTCTCGCCAATCGAGTATCGACAGAAGTGGAAGGACTGGCCCCAGCCGTACTCGTACAGGTCCGTGGCAAGGTTGTAGTAACTATCAACAGTCTTAGTAAAGGGGTAACCCATGGTAGATTGCTAGGATTGATTCGTGACATACTGTCTAGTGAGGGTAGCGTATTCTGCTGTCCTCTTTGCGCGGTCTTCCTCGGTTTCGTCCTTGGCATCCTTGTGGTCCCAGTGCTTGAAGTACTCCTCAACGGCAGCTTGTTGTGCGCTACCACCTTTGCCAATCATGGCTCGGAAGCCACCAGTAGATAGGGCGGTGTTGCCGTGCAAGACCTTGTTGAAGGCAGCATCACGGGCCCTGTCTTGCTGTTCGAGCTCAATCTTTGAGGGTGCCATGTTGAATGATTTCGATGATTGCGAGTCGCTAAAGATATGGGAGAACGAATGTGTTTCGAAATTATTTAAGGGCGGCAATCGAAATATCGAGATCAAATTCAGCAATTGGCAAAGTATTGCGATTGTCGAGAAGGACTTGGGGAAAAGGGGATGTCCAGAACGTTTTATTATTTTTTTGCGGTTATCGACAATTGATTGCAGGGGTAGCAACCGACAACTCAGGAACTCTCAATTTCTTGGCAAATTTCACTGCGGAAATGGCCTAAGCTCAAATGAGTTTCGTCCAACAATATCGCGCCGAACCTGCAGATGAAGGCGGAGACAGGGGCATCTCGAACACTTCTTTCCCCTATTGTAGCATTGCAATGTTGACAATTGCCCCTGAATCCGAATACGAACCCGACGAGCCACGGTCAAGACTAATAAGTGGCTCAACACCACGTCGTGTCGTGGCTTGATCATTCGGGAATTCTTCATTTTCCATGTGAATCAACCAGTCTGCGAACTCACCTTACCCACCAAGTAAAAGAAACCGAATACGAATTCGCATTCATTCCTACTATAGTATCTGCCTTTTGGTTTCAAGTAGACTCTCTGTTGCTTCATAGTTAGCTTCACGATCTATCTCGCCAATTCTATGGGATAAAGCCCGAACGCGAAAACGACGCTGCTGAGGGTACCGCCTTGGAGCTAATTGAAATAAAGCCAATCAGTGAGTTATGATTTACAAGGATTAAAAAATAAAACCGCATGACTTTCTAGATGTAATCGCCTTGTTAACATCGTGAAACATGACTAAAAGGCTCAAGTATTGAAAATGAACCTTATGTAAACCGTACGTATAGCAGAGAAGGAAAAAGGGGGGGAAGAAAATGAGGGGAGAAAAGGACAAAAAGATGGTATAGAAGGAATCTAACCTTCACGTGTTGGACTCGCGGGGAATCGAACCCCGGACCACTCCCAAGCGTAATGGCAATGTTATGAACTTATACCGAATGGTGCTAAGGGAGTATTATACCACTAAACCACAAGCCCTCGTTCTCATCGTTGTGTTGAAATTCGCAGGTTGTAAGTTACCGTTATATCGAGTATCGCTCCGAGGATGGGGTCTGCCCTAATTAACCGATTGGTGCCTATGGTGGTCCTATCCCCCACTTCTCTCCTAAAGCTTCCATGACATGACGCCGGCGTTTGACAACCGCAGACTACCTACATATTCATAGGGCAAACTAGAGTCGCTCAACGATAGCCATGCGCTCACATCCGATTTACAACTACATCCGAACAATTCCAAGCTTCATTGACCAGATAAACTCCCCAGCAAATTTTCGGGAATTTTCTGAGCTGGTCTTCACCTGACACAAGATAAAACGATGTGAACAATTCTTTGGCCCCTTTGCAAGGTCTAAAGGCTGCAGCTAGTTCCTACTACCACGTCCATCTCCATTTCCTTACCAATTCAACATTATGTCCGTCAGGTGTTTCGTCTGTCTTACCCGTCACGACGGGACCGTCTCCATGCTCATCCAACTTCCTATTGCTGATGAAGTACCAAGTGCCCTGCCCTATGATTTCCAAGACGACCACGGCAGAAAGAGCCAAGCAGGCGGTAAAGGCATTCATGTATAGAGGGGCATCGTTCGTTCGGAATATCTGGCTGCCGGCAATACCGGAAGCATTGGCCCCCATGATGATCATCCTACGTATCGAATGTCAGTAGGGTGAATCAAGCCTAGGTATGTAGGGTTACGAGGGAAAGGGGGTCATACGCCATAGCGATGCTTCGTTCTTGAGGATGTTGACAATTGACCGACAGCCAACCAACATTGAGAATATGGATCGTGGAGTTAACCGCCATCGAGAACACGACTGCTGCGTACTTCCTCCCGGCGCTCCATTGCCATGCCTCTCTTAAGCACGTGAATGCGACCAAGCTCCAGACCGCACCAAACAGCAACGAAGGGGTTCTTCGCTTCGTGGTGTCGCATAGCCAGCCCAGAACCACAGCCATCGCGGCAGAAATGAAAGGGCCGGCACTGGCCATCGCGTTGGCTCTCACCGTGCCGTACCCCAAGCTCTTAATGACGCTAGGCCCGTAAGCGTTGATCGCATTGACGGGGATCGTCGACGTCAATGTAATGAGAATGTGCCCCAAGATCCTAGGGTTCTTGACCGTCGTCCACACGTCGCTACCGGAGATGCGCAGGTGATTTGTGGTTTTGGCTGGATCGTCAAGAAGCACGCGACGCACCATGATGTATGACTCCCGTCGGCTGAAGTACGACCAACGCCCGAAGCTGATGAGTGGTGAACCGTTTCCGACGGATGGTGGAAGGAAGAGGACGAATATGATGCCGATTCCAATCGTGATAGTACCTTCAACTATAAACGAGGAGAAATAGAGGTTAGCCCGCCACATCGATATAAGACAAGAGGGGTTTACAGGATATGGTAAGGCCTACCGATGAAGAGCCATCTCCAGCCGGCAATTCCGTACCGATCTCCCATGCTAAGGATACCAGCACCGATCAGTGACGTAGTGGCCAAAGCAATGAGGTTTCCGAGAAAGAATATGGAGATGCGCAGGCTCGACTCGGATCTTTTGTACCACGTCGACATGGTGTAAAGGGCGCCGGGGATAAAGCCCGCCTCACACTATTGAGCATGAAAGTTAGTACCGTGGGGGCATAAGACACATTCATATCATCTCACGTACCAAACCGAGTAGTAGACGGGTAGCAAGGTAACCACCATAGTTCGTGATGAAGTTCTGACAGGTAGCGACCAAACCCCAGGCTACGATCTGGCCGGAAAGCCAGCGTTGTGGCCCCACGCGCTGGAGGAGGATATTGGAAGGAATCTCCAATAGAACGATACCGGCCGACAGAAGACTGTTTCCGACATTGATCTGGTTCGTGTCCACTCCTAGGTCCTTGGTGATGGTGCTGGTCAAAGCGTTGGAGATATTCCCTCGGTCCATCTGGAGGGCGAAGAAAGCCAGGCCTAAGATGGGCAGCAAAATGAAGTCAATCCTGCAGCTCGTCAGAAATTCCATACGCACGTCGAGGTCGAGTCGGTGAGTATCTTACTTCCTCTTCACGGCGAGCTCCTCCGCCTCAGTCCAGTCTGCCACCGTAGACTCGTCGACGTTAACGGGGGCCGCTTCTTCATCGCTTTGGCCCGCATTGACGACAGTTTCAAAGGTCTTCTCTGACACCATCGCAACGACCGAAAACCAATTTGATCTAACCGTATTGACGGGAAAAGTGATCGGGGGGTGAGATTGTCCATTGTCCATTTTCATCCACGGATATGGTGGGATGGAGCTTTTAATATCGCGATATCTCCAGCGCCTCACCTGCGCAACTGGCCAATGGATAGCACACAACGCCGACTAGCGGGCGCCATGACCGGGCACGGGATTGCAGACCTCGCCGTGCTATCTATGGCGTGCTTGCGCGGCACTGGGTCCATAACCCTGCAAGCGGTGCTGACGTGCTCGGAGATTAAGTTGCGTGATCGTTCACTGCATCTCCAGACCCAATAAGCTGGCTCGGAACCATCTGCCAGCACCCATGATTTGAAGGCCAGGTATCTATTTATGGATGACTTTATGATTCTTCAACGCAGAGACCTATTTTCTCTGTTCATGATAGCGAATTGCTTCCACCATGTTAAGTAGCTGTCTTCGAGGTTGGCATCGCTGAATGACAAAAGCCACCTCCTTTCTCCTAACACCCCATTAAGTATGACCTTGATATATTAGGTCCCGACGAACTTCGAGAACTGAAGACATGAGTAGTCGGATCCGGGCCTGCCCGCAGGGTGGGTCAAGATCCAAAAGTGTCCTCAACCGGAAACACAAAATACACTAAGTATACCTGGTATTCAGAGGTGCAGTACATGTGTGAGGATTTCTATTTAAGCTACCATCGTGTCAATGGTCAATTCTTCGAGCTTTGAAGAGTCGCATCGTAAAACTGTCCCTTACATTGGAACCCACCGTTCTGTCTATGATGAGACAGTGCCAGAACTGTGCAGCACGCGAAAAGAAAACCGATCAATAAAGCCTGTGTAACACAGTGAAGGATTCCAGTAATGGAAAAATGGAGGGGAGGTAACCAACAGACTTGTAAGCCAACAGGAGTCCTTTGTTGGATCGAGGGGACTATCTCGAGTTCTATTCACCCCTCTTTTATCACCATCTGGAACTACTGCTGAGACGATAACTCCTAGTCAACGAAATGGATGTCAACGGCATAGTACTAATTGTCGGCGCCGGTATGAGATCCCTGAAAGGCAACCTCTTGCTGTTGGCGTAATTAATCAGTTATTAAAGGAAGCGGGATTGGCCTTGAAACAGCTCTGACTTTTGCTGAAAGAGGTGCTCGAGCTGTTGTTTTCGCGGACCAAGACTTGGATGCAGCCTCAACGGGTTCAGACAAGAGCAAGTCCCTTGCGACGGCTCAAGACTATGAAGCCATTGCCATTGCCGTAGATGTCAGAGATCGAGCATCTGTGAAAGCAATGGTGGCTGAAGTCAAGAACCTATTTGGCAGGATCGATTATGCCGTCAACAGTGCCGGGGTTAGTGCTTGACATGTTGTAGTCAACATATCGCTAATCAAGATCGCATAGATGCCACGCCAAACGGCAGCTGACACGTCAAGTGTGGACGAAGCTGAATACGACCTTTTACATGAGGTAAATGCGAAAGGTATCTTGCACTGCCTTCAGGAGGAAATCAGCGTGATGAGAGACCAAGAGCCTCGTTATGTCGAAGGACGTAGCGGTTGTCGCAGCGTAGGACCTGGCTCAATCATCAACGTCACCTCTTTGTCCGCTGTGCTTGGAACTGCCAACTCTATCACCTACGTTGCAAGCAAATTCGCTGCACGAGGAATAGTCAAATGCGCTGGTGAGTTTAAAGCCGATAGAAATACATGTTGATATAGTGTTGCTGACCTTTTGCTCTCAGCTCTGGAGAACCGTAACACGGGTCTCAGGATCAACGAAGTGTGTCCGGGCTTCACGGACACCCCAATGTTACGACGGGGCATCGAGAAACAGCCGGCGATTGGAGAGATCCTCAACAAATCCATGCCCCTCGGCCGTGTGGCGATGCCCGAAGAAATTGCGAACGTGATCCATTTCCTGGCGAGTCCCGGAGCGAGCTTTGTCAACGGGCAAACTTTGGTGGTAGACTCTGGCGTGTCAGTCTCCGTTCTTAGATGAACACAAGTTTCCCCCATGTTTCTGGCTGGTCGACTAAAACCTGCTTTCTGTTCAGATCTGGATCTAAATATGATTAAGCTAGGAAGATTAAAAACAGCACAAGGTGAATATTCGAGTTAGGAAATTCCTAAAGAAGTTTGGCTTTATATATCTACCAGTAGGTACGTGACAAAGTAGTCAGACGTTGATCGATAGCAATATTGTCAAAAAAGGGGAAACCCCCCACTGTGATACGACATGATGATTGTGAGATAGATTACAAATATACCATATATACCTTCTCGTTTCCAAAGCTCCCCAGCCGACAATGCAGTTGACTTATTATGGTTGAACATGTCATGAAACCTCCTGGTTCTATATGAGGGGGCTACTTATAGACGAGACTCTACTAAACTGGTAGCAAGACGCCGGGAGTCCAATCCAATGAAAACACCTTCACTAGACATATTTTAATTTAATCAAGTCGCAAAATTGTATTTTTATCTATTGTCTCCCATCAGCTGCATGTTCGAGGTAAAGGGGGATGGTAGACCTGCCCCCCTTTCGAGGAGCTTAAATATATCGCCCAACAGGTCACATTGATCCTTCTCCGCAATGCCTGGATACTTACCTACCTCATGACATAGGTACTATAAAGGTAGCATTTGTCAAATGGTATACAAGTTAACATTACAACCTACCTACCTACCTGGTACCTACCTGGTATTGAAAATTATTGCGCAAGTATCCACATGTAGGATGAAGGCAGTATGATTTTGGAATAGTCATTCGTAGGAATAGTATTATAGATATAATACTTC